TTTTATTATCTATAATTATTTTTTTAATATTTTTGTATTTTAAAAAAGTAAATCAGAGCTGAATGAATGCAAAAATGCAGACAAATTTGCCTGTCTCAGTCTACAATCTAAGGGATAGATACTAGACTCTATTTTTTTCAGATTCTGTTTCTATATTAAGAAATTAGTATTAGAGTAGTTCAAAGATATTCTATTTTAGAGATAATAAGTTAGGTAATTTGAATATAAAATTTGCTAAATTTGTAAATTTTAAGTATTGTTAAAAAAAAGTAAAAATTTGTGATATATTATTATATTATTTTACTAGTAGAAAGATTATTTTGTCTAGCTAATATTATTAAATTATAGTATTTAATTCTACTAATATATTTAGAAGTTAGTTAGCTAGTATAATATTTTGTAATATTAAAATATTTATTTATAAATCTAAAATTTAATAAAAGAAGTAGTATTCTCTAAAAGCTTTTATAGCAATAGAGAGTTCTTTAAATATAATTATTAAGAAAGTGAGATTTATTTCTATAATATTATTTAAGTTATTTAGAAGATCTAAAAGATTAGTATAGTTAACAACACAATATGTAAGAGGAAAAGAAAATAGTATTCAATAAGTAGATAGTATTTCTTTGATAAATTGTTATATAGTTGCTTTGTTTTTAATAGAAAAAGATATTTGAGTTTTTAGTTATAATTTGAGAGAATCTATTAGAAGAAGTTTTTTTATGATCAAATAATTATTTGAAAGTCTAGCAAATATATATTCTAATTATAAAATTCTAACATAATTAATAAAATTTTCTCAGTTTTTTAGAAAAAAAGAAAATTTTATTTTAAGATATAGAAAAAGAAGTTGAGAAATAACTAGTAGAGATAGTAATTGCTCAAACAAATTAAAAAAATGAGAAAGTATTTTAGTATATAGATAGTATTTTTGAAGAGCTTGTAATTTAATAAATATTTTAAATTTACATAACTAAAAATTAAAAAAAAGTCTCTAATTTCTAGATATAGATTTTCAATTTTTTAATAGAAGTAAGTGATTATCTTTAAAATATATTTCTAGAAGTGTTTAAAAGATAAAAGCTTTATGTAATACTCTTATAATCTGATAAGTATTATAGTAATTAGTTGAAGTAATTTAAAACTTAAAGTATCATTAATATAAAAAAGTATATCTTTAAGATCATCAGGTAGAGTAATAAATTATTGATAATATATTTGAGATTATTTGCTAAATATTATCAAATTAAAAAAGAATTGTAGTTTTAGTAAAGCTGGCTAAATAAAAGATTAAATGAGCTATTTTGTATAAATCTTTTAGATTAAAGTCTATATTTAAAACATAATCTATTCTAATTTTCTTATGAAGTATAAAGAAATTTTATCTTTGTTTGTTTTGTTAGTGATTATTATATCATATAGTTGTTTATAACATTTAATTGCTAAAGTAAGTAAATTATTGAACTTTCATTAGTGTTGAAATTGAGATTGAGTAAAATGAGTAAAAGTATAAAAAAATTAAATATTATAGTAATCTAATTTAGCAAAAATAGCTTCAGAGATAAAATAATTAGTAGGTAAATACTTTAATTTGTATATAATAAATTCTTCTAGTGCAGAGAAAAAAGTAAAAATTTCTATACATTTATCATAGTTCTAAAAAGAAATGTCTATAGATTGATATTTTTCTAACTTTCAGTCTTTCAAAACCAAGATTATTTTATCTGTCTATTCTTTTTCTTTGTAGTCTACTCATAGATTGTTATTATTGTTATTCTTTTTTGTTAAATTTTGTTGAGATGTTCTTTGTACTGTTAAAACTTGACTATAGGTAAGTGTAGAAGTACTTGTACTTGCTATTGAAATATATAGATTCAGTATTTCTCAAATATACATCAACTTCTATATTTGTAAAATCAGAATTAGATATTGTTACTAGAGACTCAGGTGTTAGTTCTAAGTTGTTAGGATCAGATTCTAAATGAAGATCTATTCTGAGTCCTTTGTTTTGTTGATTAGAGGTCATAAAAATATTTACTATATGTGTTGTCATGTGTTGTTTTGTTAGAGTAGAACCAGATTCTTCACTTTTTTGTAAAATTTTTTTAGAATTTTCAGAATTAGTTATAGAGATGTGAACAGTATATGAAGCAGATCTTTTTTTATTGTTGTTAAGATCTTTTTTACTTCTTTTTTTCAGATATTCATCTGTAGACAGAGTATCTGTAATAGTAGAAGCAATAGGACTCTCTGTTAGTTTGATAGTATTATTATTTGTAGAAATTGCTAACATAGTCAGCAACACAAGTTTGTTAAAAGATATAGGTGTAAAGAAAGCGAAGTCTTTTTTTAATTTGTTTGAAAAATATACTTTATTCAGCTTTATAAGAATTTTTAATGAATTTTTTAATTTACTTCTCGAATAACTCGAATTTCGATTCGAAAAAAATAACTCGATCATATGATTCGAGTTAATTCGAAACTTTGGATTTTAACTCGCGAGTCACGAGTTTTCACGAGTCCAGTCTCTAATAAAAAGCATTATATTTAGAATAAGTTAATAAGAGCGTAGAAACAAGATAAAGTTTTGGGGTTTAATAAAATTATTTATTATTATTCTTTATAAGTCTTTAACAGAACCAATTTAATCAAGATCAATTATCGTTTTAGAAAAAACCTTTATTTTTATGTTTATCATAATATAATATGGCTTGCAAAAAGTCTAATAATAATCCTATCAAAAATCTTTTGATTTTCTTACCAACGTGTAAATAGCATAAAATCTTACTTATAAATTTAAAGGAATTATAAATCACCCTTAAAGATGAATACCAAATACTCCCTTGATCAATTTTACTACTAAATATAGCTTGCTAACCATAATCTTAAACGAAATTAAGCATCTAATAATAGATAAAATAACATTTTACTTCTAATTCAATTTCGATTGACTCCAACGTAGATAAGTCAATTTCACAAGTATTATCAAGCCTAATTGTCCATTGACTAAACGGTGTTGGAACAAAATATACAGTTGGATCATCATCAAATAATGCTTTTGTTAATATTTTTTTATCCAGAACGTTATATCTAAATATCTTATTCCTTATAGGTTCAGATCTAAATAAATATTCCTTTTCTTCGAATTTATCTGCAAACACGCCTGTGTTGCTAATATGAAGAAAGATTTCATCGCTTTCAGACCCGGCTTTATTCAAGAATATTTTAATTTCATGAAGTCGTACATGCTGGGTTTTCAATAATTTTTCGTGATTCAATGAAATCTCAAATGTAACAAATCTATCATGCTTAAATTTTTTAATATATTCTCCATCAAGACGAATTATATGCTTTGAAAGTTGTGCAGATCCTCTAAATTTACTGTAGGTCGCTTCTAATTCATCACAAATTTTATTATAATCTTTTATGTGCTGTTCAGTAGTTTTCATCACCGATAGTTTAACATTAGATTTAGAAAGTGACCAATAAAAGGTGGCACAAAGATAGTTGTCCATATATGTTGACATCCAATATTTAGTATTAATAAGACGCTCAAATAGTGAGAGAGCAATTTCATTATAATAATCTTGCTCTGATTTATAATTACTTATCAAATCCTTAAGACTTTTTTCTTTGTTTTCAAATGTTTCTACTTGTAGTTTGATTCGTGAAAACTCTTTAAAACTTTCTGTTTCTTCAATTTTTGCATCAATATACGCATCAATATATATAAATAGACTTTCTAAAGAATTTAGATATTCATTTGCGCCATTGATGCCTTTGTCTATAGGCTAATAAATAAGTAAGATCAGCTCAATCTGAAAATATTATAAAACTTGAATATATATATTTACATATTTAAGTAATTTTTTCATATCATTCTTAATTGATTTCCATTTAGCCTTCAAATGGATTCCTTTTCGATCTTCTGTTTCAAGCCTGTCAAATTATCAAATCATCAAAAATCAATTTATTTAGAAACTTGTATATATAAAGGATTGACTTACATGGTTGCAAGTGTATTGATATCCAAAGATTGGATACTTTCTTGTCCTTTCTTAACTTCATTGTTTAGATTGTCAGCCTTTTTAAAATTGGTTTTTAGATCATTATTAATTTCTTTAATTTTCTCTATGTTATCATTTACGTTCTTCAATTTCTTTACGGATTCATTATTTTTCATATCAATTATGTCTATAACTCCTTTTATAGCATCAGCTGCATTCAAAGCATCATTAATCGAGCTAGAAGTCTTTTCTATAGTTTCAATAAAACTGACTATACCACCAGGTTGTACAACGATTTTACCAACACCTATAGCCAAATCAAAAATAGCAACTATCATTTTTTTTTGTGCATCAATCTCTTGTTGATGCTTCCATTCTTCGATTCCATTCCTAAAATTCTCTGATTTTTCATCCACGTCATGTATTTTATTCTGTAATTAAAAGCATTTGTAATAAATTTATATATTCTATTTAGAAACTCATTGTTATCAGAGCATAATCTGATATTTGAAATTGTCTGATTTATTAAAATATTTTCAACATACCTCTAGCTCACTTTCTTCGTTTATCCTTAACTTATGTGATGAATCATATCGTGCCTTCTCTACTCCTTTTAAATGCACATGCATTCTGGTCATGTCATTACAGTCTTTTAATAATGCTTTTAATTCTGTTTCCTTTAAATTATTTTCACGCATTCTATCTATAATATTATTATATTTGTTTTCATAGGATATTGCAAAATTTATAAACTCTTTAATCCGCTCTTTGTAGATTTCCTTACTAAGTAATGGAATAAAAGATATTTTACTTTCCCTTCTTTCCTCCAAAATCTTTAGTTGAGTAAATATCGATAATGCTTGAAGATATAGTTCAGAGTATGGTTCAGTTTGTGATTTAGTTAATTTAATAATCCAAGATAGAATTGATTGTGTGGTTTTAATTTTAGATTCTTCATAAAATAAGGTAGTCGCAATTAGTAAAGAGAACCGCAATATTTTAATAAATGGTTCTTTTTTAAGAATAACATTATCAAAAGTATCTATATCCTTATATTCGGGATCCTTTTCATCATGTAGAGTTAGACATTTACCAATGTTTGAATAATTAATTTTAAATGTGAATGTTTGGTCTTTTGAAATAATTTTAAGTTCAGATGGCATTTCCATAGCGAATACCACAATTCGAAAGGATTTTTTGTAATCAACCGATATATGACATTCTTTTTCAATTTCAAGACGTCTTGCTACTATCAATATGACACCACCGGCGATCAAGGGTGGAATTTTCAAATTTTTTGAAAGCTGAATTACGTCGCCATAAATTCGAAAGACTCGAGCTTTGGTTTTAGTTTTTTCATTTGCAAAAAATTCATTAAGATCAATGAACAGGTCACATGTGAAAATCTTGATAATATGATTAAAAAAATTTATTAGTATTAAATTATGTAAATTAAAGGTTTTCAAAATTTTTATTATATACAATTTAAAAGGCGCTAATTGATTTAAGATTAGAGATACGAACATATTAAATGTTAAAGTTATAATGCATTCAATTCTTCCAGACTACTTCCTAACCACAATCAATTATAGATGTAGTTACGGGTCTAGGAAACAGTATAGAAGAATTAATTGAGTCTGCATTTCTGCATCAACTTTAACTTTCTGAGTTCACATCAACCACATGACACAAGTGATTATTTAATAATACCTCAATATCTGACAGCTTTTCTAATTTTGGTTTAAATGGTATTTTAGAATCATTTAATACAAATTTGTATGATTCTTTATCTAGCATCTTCTCAAATTTTCATAATTTTTATGATGAAATAATTTTTATGTGGTTTATATACTGGGCAGTAATACGTCACACAACTGTACTTATCGTTATTGCAATAATATTGTCTATATTAAAATGATATCGATATGAACTTCAGAAATTTAAAATTTAAACGTGATTGTTTTTCACTGTGTTGTGCGGCCTGTGCGCGGCACAGAATCAAAATTTTCACACCTTTTTTGAGTAATATGCGGCATTCTGTATAAAAGCAATTTTAATTCTCTCGGGTGGCCCTGGTCAAGAAATAGCATTCTCTCTAGAAGTTTTATCAAACAAATCTATACCAGAATTATCCAATTATGTGAAGCATACAATCTTTCTAGTAAGTTAAAAAAAAAAAAAAAAAAAAAAAAAAAAAAAAAAAAAAAAGATAATTTTTGTTATCGTTATAAGAACTAACATTTTCAGTATAGAGTTGAAGTTGCAATTCTAATTAGTCGGACCGCTAAGCAAGATAACGATTGTTTAACCATATCCTAAATTTGGAGAAGAATGTGTGACAAAAGGTTTCCTATTACTATTTATGAAAAAAAGATGTTTCAATTGTATATATACTGTACTCTTGATGTTTCATTTTAATACTTTATCTTCTTTTAGGTTACATTCAGATTATTCGCCTCAATAAAATGAGCAACAGGTAGGTTAAGTTAATGAATTTGATGAGTGGCTTTCAATTTTAAATGTGAAATTAAGATTTAATAATAATTTAAAATAAAAGCGAGTGAGTGCGAAGTTTGCCTTTATCAAGACTGTTTATTAGTAAATTATGCTCATTTTTCTCGTGTCAATTATAAGAATGTGAGTATAATACTTATTTTTTAGTAAGATAATTATCATTAATTCATATAACCCTAATAATTTACATCTTAATCTATTAGATTGTGAGTATTAAGTCCGTTTTTTAATCTTTTTTTTTTTTTATCAAGTGAATTTACCTCTATGCTAATCATTTACACATTTGGCTAATTGTAGTTTGTGAGTAGTAATGTTTATTTTATTTAAGATTTACCTTTGAATAGCTTAACATGAACATTAACCACGTATAAAATCGTAGGGAGTGAGTATAGAGTTGATTTCCATTCATGTCAAGAGTTATTTTTAAATAGTACACTTATTTATTATTAGGTTGTGAGTATTAAAGTTCAATTTATCATAAAGGTTTATTATTAAGTGACTATTTTCTCATGTATTAATTGTTAGAATGTAAGTACGAAGATTCAGGACGTAAGCTTATATTTTAATTACTTGCTAATTAATAGTTAAAGATATCTATAATTAAAATTTAATGCTGAAAATTTTATTTAGAATCAAACTGTAGTAATATAGTAAAATCTCAAGATTTTCCATTGATTATAACTTGGCTAGTGTTCGAGGCACAGAAGTGTTTGCTAAATCATCGGTGAGAACAACTACTTAGTTGGTCTTTACCTTGAAAATGAACTTACGGTACATAGTAATTATTACATGTCATTTTCAAAGGCCTCATTGTAGAATCACGTGATATAATTATAATTTATTATCGTTTATGTGATGATTTATCATCACATCTCTGCGCCCCAAACACTAAACCTGGCAGAGATTTCAGATGTTCCAACATTTCATGTAAGCTAGGTTAGTTTTTAGATTAGAGTATAAGTGCACAAGGAAGATTTTTTGCTAGAAACGAATCGAACGTTTAACTTTAATTATTGGACAATTTTATATCTATTACTACGTGTCCGAAAATTTCTGTTAACAAAATTTAGCCTGTACCCGGGGTATAGTGATAGCTATAAATTTATTCATTTAGGGTTATATGTTAAGAGCATATACCCCAAATACATTTAAGGAAGCTTTCCACCTATACGTGATTATATGTGGCGCATCGATAAACTTTTATGTTAGTTTCTTTTAGGTTTGTATGTTAGCAGGATAAGAAGGAAACTTTTGACAAAAGTTCGTTTGTTTTAAATTTTCCTTATAATGTTATGTTACACCCGGTCTCGAGATTCGCCACACTAAAATCATGTGTGAATTTTGGTGGTGATAAAAGTTTAATTATGTCTGTCACATATATCCCGATGCACTTTTCTGGGGTTTAACACATATTAAACTATTATTTTCTCATGTATTATCATAAATTACTAGAAAGTGAGTATAATTTATTTCCATTCACATTACCATGATGATTTCCGTTAATTTACTGTTAAATTATCGCTATTAGATTGTGAGTATCAAGTCCATCTTTATAAAAAAGGCCTACTATTAAAATAATACAACACCAATAATTTCATGTTGTATGCTAAATTAGCCAGTGAGTATAGAGCTTCATTTACTTTTGGTATGATATCATTAAATGACGCAATTATATTATCTATCTATTATTAATTAGAAGGTAAGAATAGGTTTATTTCTTATATCGTATGTATCCAATGTTTACTATTACTATGATTTATATTAAATTAGAGAGGAGTAAGTGTAAATTTCAATTTATCAAGCAAAAATCGTTATTAAATAATACAGCTCTAATTATTTATTCGCATGCTAAATTAGACGGTAAATATAAGTTCATGTTCTTAAAATTAGCATTTCAAATAGTTGACACTAAATCATCATTTATTCGCGTGTTCCATTACTAGTTTGTGCGTATAAAGTTCATTTTCTGATTACTAACGTTCTTTAAACAATATAAATCTAATCATCTATTCCGTGAAAAATTAGACGGTGAGTTTATTATATATATATATTAAAAAACACTATTGGTTATTTATTTGATTACATTTTAAATTACAGTTTGTGAGTATAAAAGATCATAATCATATCTGTACATAAAGAGATTTATTTATATAATGATTATTTTGTTTTACTAGATTGTGAGTATGAGTTCCTTTCATGTCAAGAAGACTTGCACATGTTATTAAGATATTTGATTCTAAACTACCAGAGAGTTAGTATAAAATTTGTTATACATATTTTTGCTAAAATTATTTACTATTTTTATTTATTTATTTATTTATTAAATCGCAGCCTGTGAGTATAAAATTCATTTCTGTTGTTATATTAAAAGCATTCATTATTAACTTATTTGTTAATTCGCATCAGCAAGTAAGTAAAAAATTTTATTTTTTGCATAAATAGTCTTTGCTATATTACTAAATTATTCATTAATTCACGTTAAATTAACAGTTGGTGAGTATTAATCTCATTTTAATGCTGCTGTGTTGACAGTATTACAAAGGTATTCATATTTCAAATTACCAGGAAGTAAGTAATTCTATTTCTACTGGTTCATTTTTAAAACTGATACAGTATTAAGATTTTATTTTATTTCAATTATTCATTACTATTATTAATATTTTAGTCTGTGAGTATTAGAATTTAAATTGATATGAGATTATTTAAACGTACCATTATTTACTTGTCCGTTTACATGTGAAAATACTAGTTCGTTAGTATAAAGTTCATTTCAGTCGTTCATAAAATTATATCAATAAATTATTAAAATATTCGTTTGCTTTATAAAATTAGACGGTGAGAATGAGATTTATTTCTCCTTTATCACTTGTTAAATTGTTAATTTCATATGTTAAATTATCAGAGAGTAAGTGTAGAATAAATTCCTATATTGAAGGATTTACATATACTTATTACTAATTTATTACATATCTGATTTGGTAACTTGTTAGTGAGTAAGTATAAATCGGTTTTCTTTTTTAAAAATTACATTTATAGTCAGGGCTGGACGCGGTATAAATTAGTGCAGTTTGTACAATTTAGTATAATCTTTATTATATTTCTTATTATAAAAATCTAAAAATTATATTATATATTTTTTAATATAAGCTACAATTTTACTAATATAGGTAAAAATACAATTTTTGACTTTACTTTGTGAGTACAATTAGTATCTACTAAAATAATTTAGTACTGTACTAACAGTACTGACAAAGTAAAGTCAAAAACTATATTTTTAACTATAATTTGCTTCTAAGTAAAGTTGTAGCCTATATTAAAATGTATATAATATATAATTTTTAGATTTTGATTTATTTATAATAAGTAAGATAATATATAAGTTTTATATTTTGATTATTTATAATAAGAAAAATATACTAAATTGCACAAACTGTACTAATTTATACTGCGCTCAACCTGTACTGTATATAGTATTTACTAATCATTTATATAATAAATTACCAAGGTTGTAAATATAAGAATCAATTTTGAATTTTTGGTCTTGAGGATATTCGCATATTATTATACCGTATATCCATTTAATCGCTTGTTAATTATCAGGAAGTTAGTATAAAGTATTTCAGTTTATTTTTAAAATTTAAAATACACTTATTCATATATTTTTGAACGTTAAATTATCAGAATGTTAGTATAATACACCCTTTTCAACTATCTTAAAATTAATATAATTAAATTGTTACTCATAATATGCTAATTTACTAGTATGTGAGTATTAAATTTAGTTTTGATATGCCAAAATATTTACTGTATTATTAAGCTATTTTTATAATTCAATTTCCTAGTTTGTAAGTATATATATATATTATCACGTATTATTATTATGATAGGACTAAACAGTGTATCGTGCACTTTTATGATAACTCAATTTTACTAGGATAACCTCTGTTGTATAACTAAGTAAAAATATTCTTATCATAATTTTACTATACCTAACCCTAATCCTAATTCTGCTCGTAGCCTAACCCTAACACTATTTTTAAACTTTTTATAATATTTCAAAATTTTACTAGAATAACCCCTGTTGTGTAACTAAGAAAAAATATTCTTATTACAATTTTACTAGATGCCAACCTTAACCCAAACCCTAATTCTAACTTAGACTAACCTAATTCCTATTATATACTTAATTCTACTATAAGGTGCACAAAGTGCATGAGTACACTGTTTAGATTTTTATTTGAAAACCATTATTGAATTATAAGTTTACTTTTAAATTACCAGAT